GATGACAACTTGATAGTAGGTTCAAAATTGGATGAAGGGCTTCAGGGGAATAGCTTCAGGAGGAAGAAATCGACATACCTTCTTAGTGAGAGAACTGTCGACGTATCGACGCCGTAGCAAACAGATATTGTAAACAGAGATCACCGTAGCAGTCGACATTAAAACGGAATATCTTGATTCTAGCATCTGATTGGCTAGATCATGCATATGCAGTGAATTCAGCCCATCCAAAGCCCAAGAAAAGTCCATGGATAACCCATCTCCCCGCCCATTTTACAATTTGTTCGCCCAAAACATTTCACCCCATGGCTCATGAGATATCTTCAAACCTCTCTCATCTCTGTAATCCCTAGAATATTACGTTTCTGTGAAGACAGACGTTAAGTCTGAGAGATTGGCTATCTTTTGGTATAAATTTCAACTCTATAAACCTATAATTCATAGATTTGACCCTTGAATCTACAGTTCAACAGAAACATGCACCTACTTCTAATTATATGAGATATATATCTCTACATGTTGACACTTTGGAACTCTCTAAGTACTAGAATACTACGAAAACTTGGTGAAATTGGATTGTTTTTTGGATGACGCCGGTAAACTATAGTGCCTACTGTAGCTGGCTTCATCTACGACCTTAATTACTATGTCGTCGCCGTTGGATCTTGAGATCTTGATTCTTGGGGGAGTTGAACCCCCGGATTGGGAGTTGAAATACTAGATCAGGCCTGGTAAAACGTCGGGCCGATGTATGCCTTGTAAAGGCTTACAGACTGGAACATGCGTAAAAAACAGGCATTAATCAGCGGTTTTATGAGCGCCAAGATCGTAGTTATGCATAGAAATGGGCTATATTGGGGGCCTCATGGGCCCCCACTCATGGGCTATGGGTTGGGGCGGGCTATAGAGGTTAGGCCCACAGCCCACTGCTGGTTGGGCTATGGGCCTAAAGGTCGGGCCCATTTATGGGCTTTGCGGAGGTCTACTTACACACCTTCTAGCCCTGCCACATCAAACCATGCAGCATGTCCTATGTGAAATACTGCAAATCAAAGGCGCGGGCCAACAACAGGACACATAAGCTCGAGAACCTTGTTCTCTATGGTAAGGTGAGTGGATATCGCGGCTCTTGATGCGCCGGGTCCGATGATTTGTGCCAAGTCTGTGCCCCAGACACGAACACTACTGACATCTTCATGCCGTTGCAGGAGCAGCCCATCGCCAACCGCGCAAGGTCTCGTGGCGAGTTACCTATTCCCGCCGACTCAGATAAGACCAAGGAGCCGACGCGCCACCGCGTCTTCCCCCTTCTCACCGCCTTTTCACACGACTTGAGTGCCTCAGCCTCTCGCCGCCTATAGGAAGCGGTCTCCCTTTACGACTGTACAATTTCTTGTCATGGGCGGGTTCGTCACGCGCATTTGCCGTCTTGTGAACCTGTCGGTTCATCCAGCGCGGCTTCTCGAAGCGACAGCCGGAGAGAGTGACGAACCTGGATACAACATGGTATATTGGTGACTGCATCGCAGAACTGATTTGACAGTGATCTAGTTGGTAAGCAGGTATGATGACGATCCTAATTGATCATCTGTCTCAACCATACACTCGGGGAATTCTCCATGAACAACGTAAAGCACGACACCTCGTCCAACTGGATCAACACTTGCTGACTCGGGTCTCACAATAGGAGGCTCCCTCATATTCCCACACTCGAATTCGAAGCGATCAACTGTCTTGTCTGCTCAACCTCTCCTGCACCAACACCATCGCATGCTCTGTTTCTTCCTCATGACTACCGGTGGCATCGATGAGTCCCTCCCTCGACGTTCTAGTCGATTTGGTTCATCAGATCACGCGTTGGTATGCTTACCTGATGCAAGACCCCACAGAGCGCATAGCAGTGTCTGTCTCTCGGCATTTGAACACCTACATGGGATAGCCTCTTGCGGCTTGGATCCCCGGCGTCCAGTGGGTGGCCATCGTTGTTCTTGGATGGCGTCTAGCGTCTTTTGAGCCTAAAACCGCTAAGAAATCGGGAGAAGCCAACGCAGCCAATGCTTTGTCTAGCTAGAGCCATATTTTCGTACTGGCGAGGTTGTCAGTCGAGACTGCTTGCATGGAGAAGGTGAGGCAAAAATCCCGTCATTTCTAGCCAAATCAACTAACAATAGCCATGTCAGCTTCGAATCGATGGACAAGACCGCGGATGGCCAAACGATTGAGAGGACCCATGACCCAAGAACTACGTCTGATAGAGTCATCTTGATTCCTCTTCCTCTCCGGGTTGCTGAGCTTTTGGACATGTACGGGCGAGCGGGAACCACTCGGACATACACGGAGCTGCATGCTATCGATTGTTTGCTTTTCCCTGTTAGACAGAAGGTTGGCGATTTCATTCCTACGCCTGCGTTTTTCTATCCAAGCCCGAGCACTACGTGCAAAGCCCATACACCTTGAATGTCAGAGCAGCTGGAGGTCAGTCAAGTTATCCAGTATCCTTCGTCCATTGAGACCGTCGTCTAACATATCGCAATTGGAGGCGCAAGCACGTCTTGCCAGCAAATCACCGATTCCTCTACGTCTCTGAGCTCACTGTGCTTTGACCATCTATGATGTATTTCTCCGCGCCCAAGACGATATCTGGCATATCACTGTTGAGCATTTCACCGTGAAGGTGGGTTTGATGTCTGTAACAGCACCACAAGAGCCCTCGGGTTGTAGGACCTCTGAATGTCCCGTACAGCCTGTACGAATTATCTACCCCAATAAGCGCTCATGTTATATTTGCTTGGGGAGGATTTGAGCGGATGCCTGCTAGGGTCACACGTGGACGAGAACACCCCTGTACAAATTACCAGGTCCCGAGCGCTGATTGGGGAGAGTGTCTTACCAGTTCTGAGTCCAGATGGCTCGTTGGGCCCCGATCAGAAATCAATCATGCTATATCAGCAGCGGAGCATGATTTATCGCATGTAGTGGGGAATAAGCCTCACAGAAAGTAACGACCGTTTCTTCATCGCTGTAGTGGACTTCCACGAGAGATTGGTTGGATTTACTGGCGGGATATTATTCACAAAGTTGCGACGGCTCCTACATGTAGAAGGAGCAGATCAGATATTCCCGAGCCAAAGCTACCAAGGACATGTTAACCTCGAGAAAGAAACTCTCACTCTCGCAATCGCTCTATGATGTAGGCATTCTAGTGTAGAATAGGTTCGAGTGACAAGCAACAGTCATCTCAAGCAATTTCTTTGGCGACGCAAGAAACTGAGCCTATCGCATAATCATCTTGAATTGAATCCATGATTTGGATTTTCGAGATACATCACGTGGCTCTACACTTCGTAGTTCTGATCTTGAGTGTACAGTATGTTGCGTGATCAGAGTTACACAATCCTTGAATTAGATCATCTCAATTGAATTGGAGGCCGTAGTCAAGGCGTGTCCAACAGGGATCAAAATTGCTTTGCAGGAACAAAAAAAAAAAAAAAAGCAATTAAAGTTTCTATGATGTGGGGGACATGGCAAGAGACCGCGTTGCCTCTGTGAGACGGTGACCAGCACTCCCTTCACCGCCCGACCATTCAGCACATCAACATCAAACATCAACATCAACATCAACATCAAACATCAACATCAAACATCAACACATCAACACATCAACACATCAGTACATCAACGCGCATCAACACATCAACTCTCAACTCTCAACACATCAAAACACCAACACATCAACACTCTCACCAATTCTCACCAACTTGTTTGCCCTACGCCTGAATGAAGGGTGTCAATTTCACTACGCGAAAGGACTATCGGACCGCAAACCATCAGTGCAGAACATTTGGGAATCTCCCCTTTGATAAAAATGACACTTTTGTTGTTATCGTATAATTTTGGCCATTGAATTTGGGACGATCTATCTAGGGCTCATTCTATCTATCCAATGATGATCCTTCGGAAAAAGAAACAGACTATGAGGAGGTTGGGCAGGTCTTTGCTTCTTCGAATACTGTTGAATATCGAATACTGGTCTCTAACACCACGGAGAGGTGCCTGCACATTGCTAGAGGGCTTGTTAACGCAGCAATCCCCTGCAAAGCACGTTTGTTGACGCAGAGCTCGTCCTGCGAAGCACCTTTTACACTCGCGGGGCTCAGGGCAGCGAGGGAGCACATTTTTACACTCGCGGGGCTCAGGGCAACGAGGGAGCACACTCTTACACTCGCGGGGCTCAGGGCAACGAGGGAGCACATTTTTACACTCGCGGGGCTCAGGGCAGCGAGGGAGCACATTCTTACACTCGCGGGGCTCAGGGCAGCGAGGGAGCACAGTCTTACATCGCTGGGCTCGTGGCAGCGACAGCCGTGGTCACGGAAGCTCTCAAGCCCGCAGGCAAGAGAGGGACACTATGATGCATCAAAGTATGAGGACCAAAGTGTGAGGATGGAAGTCCTGGGAATTTTGGGCTGGGAATCCGGCCCCTTTTATAATTTTTCGGCTACGTCTCTACCAAGGAACCAGTTGCGCACCTGCTAGCGACACTCACCATCAGGCTGCTCAAGAGTTGAAATCGTTCAACGAAGGGTTGCATATGGTTTCGTGATTTTCAACGTTTGGGACAGATTCACACCCCCATTATGCCCGTGGTTGCCCTGGGTTGCCGAGGGGCACAGTACCGCGGCTTGGTTCATGTAACATGCGTTGATGGGGAATGAATACCTTCAACGTACTGGTGCCCTCACAAAAGATACTCAATGCTGAGGCGTTGAGTTATTGTTCTCACTAACATGTATCCAAAGTGTCTTCTGCACTGTGTCCAACCATTCAACGGCTTGTTCTGCTGGGTCTCTTCAACAAGTCGACGTCCTTTGATTTTTGCCACCCAAAAACTCTAAGGAGAGTTCCTCATTTCATCCACGATGACTCGGCTCGTTCCTGGTATCATGGTTTTCACACGGCATCATTAGTAACATCCCTTCTCCCCCCTACAACCCTCTGCAATGTACGACCATTCGCAGCGACGAACTGAGCGCAGAATGGGGAGTTTTGCTGCCCGATTGTCAAATGCGCTGGCAGAAGAGTCCTCGATAGACTCTGAGTCTTCTGACCGCCCCGAGGACGATGAACCTCACGATGAAGCACATGATCCCGTCAAGAAGAGACAAGCTGCGAGCGAGAAAGGCTCTCTCAAGAGACGTCCCCAGGCGCATGCGAATGCGGCCAACCCGTAAGTGACATGCACAGTACGACTGGCATCATTTTTATGACTAACGTAACGACCACAGGCCAATTCGGCGAGTGAGGTATGTTTGTTTGACGGGCTTCGCTAGAGCTACACTTTAACCCTCTCCTTCATTATGGGTCCGGGCCTGTACGCGAAGAAGAGGAAGACTAATAAGACAATACAGGTTTCGAGAAGACGAAGACTGCGCACGGAGGAAAATCGAAAACTTGGAAGGGGAAGTCGAAGCTCTCAAAAAGAAGGTGCAGGTTCTTATGAAAAAGTGGGATTTCGTGGAACCATTTTTGGAAGCGCAGTGCAAGGCAGAGGGGGTGTCCACCCCCAAAAGAATACCAGTCGTCAATAGGTAGCGTGACTGGAGATTAGTTGCATTTCACTCGATTGAACACGATGCATACGCGCTGCTTCGACTACATCAACCGCGAATTCCACGTTTTTCAAACATTGTAATGCTACTATCACACTGATGAGTCTCTGGAGATAAATAGCACCAGAAGAACCGGTCAAACACCACGCGTGAATTTAGACAGATGCTGGTACTGATCGCAGGTCCCAGCGACGACCCACGGGGCAGTAGACGAAGGAGGTTCTATTTATGGCCCGGAGAAGAAATTGGAAGGTCCAGACACGATCCACAAACCCAAACTTGACGGCCGTCAGTGTCCGATGGAAAAGGACTTTGTTGCGTAGAAGGTACGGTCGAAGTACGGTACAGGCAGGGGAGGTATTTGGAATATCACGCAAATTCTGGCAACAGAATGGTTGGCTAAATCCCGATCCGTGGTTATGCTTTCCTAGTTCCTGTCACAGGAGAGTAATTCTCCTGTCAAGTGGCAAGCTGCTTGTCTACCTGGTCTGCAGAACGTTCTAGAAGCTATGTCTTCTGTCCTGCGTAAAGCTTCCCCGTAGAGATTGTACTCTCTTTGAATCCGACACAACCCTATCATCAGCCCCATTCAATGGCCAGTCCGATATGTCTAGCAGAGAGCTTGTAGAAACTATGCCAATCATGGACACACCACATGAGCTTATGTAAAAATATCTCCGGTTTTTGCACTAAAACCGAGGAACCGATTGGCTGCTGGAAATGGGTTGAGGTTGTGGGCCGGCGGCCCTTAAACTTTATCTCAATTACCCTCCGCATCTTGATTACGACTGTAGCGAGAGAGAATCTTTCTAGTACACTGCTGGTCTGTTCAATTCCCGGTACATGAGCAGGTCGAGACTGTCGTGAATCTGCCCCAATTCTCTGGGCTTCTCTTTTGGGCTGTAGGGCTTAATCACGAGCAACCTAGAAAGCAAGTGGGGCAGAAGCCCGGGCCTGAATCCTACATGACCACCGCATTTTCTCACCGAGCAGGCGATTCCATGGGTCGTCCAAACTAAGCGGTCGAATGATTTGCAATTCCGCTAATGATCGTCAGCTGCGCTCGTGATTCCACGGTCTTGTCAAACTAATTTCCTCCTGACTTGGGTGTAGGTCAAAACAAATCGTACGCTTCACCCCAAAGATTACCCTGCTTTCGACCATCGGTCCTATCAAATCCAAGCAGACGTATTACCTTAAGCCGACAAGAATGCCGTATTTCCATTTTCCCGGAACCCCCTTGCTACCATGTCCTGTCTCCGTACGGGAACACTCATAGTATCGTGAATCCTTATTCGCTGTCCGCAGTACTTACCGGGCCACATAACACTCTGATGAAATCCTCCTGGTTTTGCATGACAAGGATGAAAATCTGTAGGCGGGCCTGTTCCAAGGGCACCACCATCGTGCTCGAGTCCTTTGACTTTGGGACATCCTCTATATTATTGTCATTCCAAAGAAGGGCGATTGCTACTACCTCTACGGAATACATGGAACGATATACAACTACGCTTATATTCCTCATGCTGAGGCTTCATTGCTGATCACCGCCTTTATTATAGTAACATTTACTTGGACTAGTGTATCGTGGTAGTTGGCCTCTGTTCCTTGGACATCGCAATGTAATGCTCCAGCCGATAAATGCTGCTAAAGTGCACGCTCTGTTCGCCGGTATCTCAGCTTCCTAGCAGCACAGACACGATGCACATAGTCCCACCTCCAGGATGACGACCGTGTTTTTTTAGGCCGGCACGGAAGCGGTGCTGGCGTCAAGCGGTCTGTGACAAAGGGTCAGCATGTAGTATGAGACGACTAAGGGTTTCGTACCTGAAATTAAGTTCGTTTGAGTTGGCTTTTTGCTGTCACCAGGCTGGTTAGGGTCGGCCGCTAGAATTGTTTGGAACCATTTGTCGATGTTCCTTTGGGCAGGGGTCTTGGCTGAAAGTCTCGACTGTGAAGCGCTATCGACCACCGAGCGTCGTACGGCGCCTGCTTGCTTTTGTTTGCTTGGATTTGGCGGAGATTTGGCACCAGTGCGACTCTGCTTCCGCAGGATATGGTACTTTTTTCCTCGTAAAGACTCAACGCTTCGATGCACCTGGTATTCTTCATAATATGCGTCGGAGAGAGCTTTCCACGACAGCTCCGGATGGGCATCCAACCATGGAAGAAGGTTTTCTCCTCCCATTCTGGCCAGCCGCAAGCGTTACGTGGGGACATGGTTATGCTTGGGTAGTTGGCAGAAGTGGTCAGAACAGGTGAAGAAAACTGCAGAAAGTAAACTTGAAGATGTATTGTTGTTGAGTTTAAAAGATTGAAGTGTGGCAGATAGAACCGACTTCTATGTGTTTATGAGACCCAAACGAGCCCTCACTTTTGATGCAACGTACATCGTTGAGAATCAACAACGTTGAACGCGGCCACAAGAGTCCGTTCTTGTTGACAATTTCCCGTTGTTTCACCCATTGTTTCACCCATTGTTTCACCCATTGTTTCACCCATTGTTGAATTCTATTGTCTGATCCGCCTCTTAGTGAGTCATTGTTAAAAAATGTGCAGATTCAGCAATAGATATCTACGGGTAGAAAGTAGGAATGAAAAATGCGTGCACTTGCGGTCCCTCCTCAATTGCGAGCAAGCAAACAGTCAATCCTGATCCTGCAGTACAACATTCTATAAAGACCGAGCGTCTCCTATCACAGAAAACCAGAACTAGGACCACTCCTCGCACGCTCCTCGACGACAGAACTTTCGAAGCCGATTGCAACGTGCATTGTCCTTGTCGTCTTCTGAGTCTGAGGATACTGGTAGTCCATCCAGATCCGCTACAGGCGATACCACAGAGGACGATTCATCCCCTCAGGAGGAACACGACTCTGTCGACCAGGACAATAGCACCTCGACCGATGAGAGCGAACAGGAAGCTGTGCGACAGCGGAAGACTGTGTTTGGACACCAATGGGACTTGGAACCACGCGGGCAGACTCAGCTTTCCGGAGATGGCAGTTCGGTTGCTCTGGAATGCCTGACAGAGTAAGTACAATCCCGTCAAGGTCATAATTTACGAGTGGCCTGCTAACAATATCCAGACTAGATATTCGAATGAGGTCAGCTGTTGTCCATCCCGAGTGAGAATTTAAAGTGCTAACTGTATCAGCAGGTCTATTGAGGACTCGTCGCATGACCAGGCCACCTTGAATGAAACGATACGCAATGATCTGGCCGACATTTTCGGTCGATTGGCAATCGTCGAAAGTGAGATCCAGAAGGGGACTAGGCAGGGTTCAAACAAAGCTACAGAGGGCCAGAAGATCGGCCGATCCCTGCGTCGGCAGCAGTGATGCGATTCAAGCTTGATTTACTTGGGTATCACCTCATGTATATCAGAGAAATATATCAGTCTGTATTGGTCTTGCAGCATGACCAGCAGCTCAACCGACAGAATATGAACACGCTTATCATTGACGCCGGATTGGACGGTCACTGGATAAGCCTCAATAGATTCAGTGCCAAGCTAATGCGATGGTGAGCGATGTATCATTTGTTGTTGCATTGGGGTCTTCGTGTTTTATTTATGCTTCCCTTAGCTGTGCAGACGGAAAACTATGACTGGTATATGAATTGTGCCGAGACGGTTCTCCTGAACCGACGGGCTATAGTCGCGAGCCAATATATGTTGCCGAGTAGATTAAATATTCGATTAGTTCAATCATTGGAGCTGATTTGTATTGCCTGGCCCACTATGCCTGTACTCGGTCTGTATAAGTGATGAAATTTTCAAAGAAAGCTAAAGTACAGTAGTGCTCAAGAATCGCGCACATGTAGCAAGGTGCGGTCCTTAGCAGTTGATACTCGCACAGTAGTGCGACATCTATCGACTTGCGATATCCCACTCAACGAACAATTGCTATTTGTAAAAAGAAGCTGGCACAGGCGTTGCAAGAGCATGCAGCAATGGAGAATAGCGACCTTGTCGTGGAAGGGTTACTGGGGTGGTGTGCCGTTTGAACTTCAAAGGGATGTATGCTACTTGCTGAGAGGCCTCCACTGTTACAGTATGGTGGGCCATAAGCATCAAGAATACTCCTCTCCATCTTTGATCACTCCTTTCCCTCATTCAAGCCCCACTCATGAACCATGTGTCGTGTCCACGCCTCACGACGCTATCACCGCCTACTGCTCGAAGAATAGATAGCCGAATAGCCGACCAACAGCGCTAGATATGGTTTTTCTCGTCCACTGTGTCACCATATTGTTCCCACTAACCGATTCAATCATTTCAGATCAAGTGTGACAACAGCATATTCTTCAGAAAAGTGTGCATTCCGCAGCGAATACTGAGACTGGAGAGAAGAGAGAAGTGCTGAAGCCGAGGTGCCCGCCTTCATACCCCTCGGTCCTTCCCCATCAGATCGCTCAAAACTAACCGCTCTATATACACACACTGTTTCCTAGCGTCACATCTAGCGTGGTGTGCGAGGGATTTGAGAGTCTGAGACGCGATGCGTGGTCAGCGGCTTATGTGCATTTTTTGATCCTCACCGATTGCTGCCGATATCGTGTCTGATACGTTTCGCCGCCTGATTTATGAAAGAACCCATGGAGCTTTCCCTCAGTTACTT